AGCCCTGCTCACCCCTGCAACTCTGATCACTTTCTGCTCCACATCCTTGTGACTGGCTCAGAGGAATATCTGAACTCCAGCCACGTCCTTTGCCATCTCACCTTAGGTGGAAAAATCAAGTTATCCTTAAAGGTTCTATGAGGCTCTAAAGGCAGTCTGAGAACTCCCAAGGGTAAGATCTATTGAAGATGAGGAGAAAGGAGATGAAGAGGAAGGGCTGTATTAACATGTCCATCTGGATGCTGTGAAGCAGGATTCCTCAGATGGCAAAGGAGACCTGGATAAAAGGCAGCTCTTTCCCCTCCTTCTCCTCACCTGACCAGCCAGGGCAGCATCTTCACAGCCCCTGCCCAAGGTCAGCCAGCACCGCTGGCCACCCAGGGGTCCTCTGTGGTGGGCTGGGGTCACATTTCCTTGCTGCCCATCCAGGGACTCCCAGAAACCCAGGAGGGCTGTGATAGCTCCTCAGCCCCCTCAGCTCGCTGCGTGGGGAGCGGTGTGCGGCATCTACAGAGGGTTTGTTGGATGGTGGAAGGAGCTAATTTAAATGAGAAAAAAAGACTTCGGGTATGTTGCCAGCATTCTCCTTGCCTATTGTACTCCCCCTTCGGTTTCTGCTTTCCACTGAACAGTTTTATGTTTCCAAGGATCATAAATTCTCATTTTTCCACTGGGCAGGAGGTGCTCTCCTGGTCTGCAGTGCTTCCTGCGTCGCTTTTGTGTCCGTGTTGCCCAGTTACTGCGGCGCAGCCCCAGACTATGCCTGGCCACATTTCACACCGGCCACGGCCCCAGCAGCGTGTGCTGCGACGGGCACGGGGAGTTCAGAGGGTTCAGACAGGCACATGCCTCCCCAGGGGGACAGAGGAAGGGCCGTGAGCCAGCGGTGTCCAGACGGAGCTGTGGGGAGGGCAGCGCTGACCGGTGATGGCAGCGGCTGTCACGGCGAGGCGGGATGTGATGCTGAAGGGGGGATCAGAGGCTGGACCACAGCCTGCTGTCCCAATGGTGTGGGAACTGACACCGCTCCCTGTCAGCTCTGAGGCGACACGCAGAGCTCGGCTAAGCTGCCCTGGCTGGGAGAACAACTCGGGGGTTTCTGTAGCATCAGTTCCAAGGGCAGCACTCCCAGCATCAGCCCTTCAAACAGCAGCCGAGATAACGCCCTGTCCTCGTGCCATGCGCCTCAGTCACTTTGAAATCAATCACATTCCTGAGCTGGAAATGCTGGGATCCATCATGGCTTTAATTCCTGAGGTGGCCCTGGTGTAACCCTGGAAGTCACACACCACCTTGGAGGGAAGGATGCCAGGCTGGGAGCAGGGACGGGGGTCCTGCCAGGGGGACACTGTTGGGGGGCAGAGCAGAGCTCGTTCCCATCTCCTCATTGCCATGCTCCCGGTGTCCGTCTGACGGGCCAGGCTTGGGAAGGGGCTGGGACTGCTTATTGTTGGGGGTTGTTTATGGACACATAGATCCTGCACCCTGCCAGGCCGGGCCGGGCCGAGGGCAGGGCAGCAGGCTGAGGGCTGGCTGCAGAATTTACGGCTGCAGGAAGAAGTCGTCCATTTCCAAGCCTGTGGCATCTTCCTTTGGGCATGCAAATAGGTCCATACCCAGCTGTGATTGGGAGCACTGACACACTCCCATTTAAAAACCTGGAGAGCCTCTGCCTTGATTTCCCTTAATACAAGTTAAAACACCATTTGAACCATGGCCAGGAGCATGTTCTGGCCCTGCTGCTCCTTGTTAATGAGGAAGATGCATTTTTTGGAAGCAAAGTCTGCCTCCAAGACCTGCAAACTCTCTATTTTATGACAGTTTTCATTTGCATAATGAAGGCCCTGATACCTTCGGTAATTAATCACATTAAGAATTGCTTCCTTGAATAACTGTATTCATGCAGGTTGTTCCTAGTGCTGGAAACTGCACATGATTTCCAATGTGCATTAGCCCAACTTTCATCAGCAGATGGAAGCTGGTAACTGCATGTGTAATTTATATCTGCTTGGGTGGAATTATCCAATGAAATATGCATCACACGGCGCCATTAACATTTCTAGTCATACAGTCTTTAGCTCGTGGGTAAGTTAATATTACATGCCAACAGTGTGTGGGACCGTATGAAAGGCAAGGACTTGAACATGGGGGATTTAAAAGCAGGAATGGAAAGTATTTCAGGTCAGACATAGCAGATATAGAATTAATGACGCTGCTAAAATAAATGAGATTAATTGTCCTTTTTTGACCTGCCTTTTTTTTTTAATAAAGTCTCCCATCTTGTCTCCCTAGTTAAGAAAGCTGCCAGGCTGCTGAATTGCTGCCTGGAAGGGCAACTGCAGATCCTTTAGCATCCACAAAGCTTTCCCCCATAGGACATCACAAGCAGCAGGGGAATAACAATTGAATCGTGGAAGGCAGCACAAACAAGTGCTGCTGTGTGGGTTTGGATTGTCATAACCTTGACAAATCTGGGGGAAAAAAACCCTCAATTCAACACTAAGAAAAAAATCAGTGGCTAGACTTTGCCTTGATGACAGTGCCAGGTCAGCCAGGAGCCTTGTGCTGGGATGGAGGGTGACCATTTTATAGGAGAAAGTCTGCAGCCTTTGGGTGCGTTTTTCCATGTGCTTTTTTGTCCTTACATAAATCACAGTTCATTAAAGTACTGATTCCTGCTCGATAGGAAGCAATTAAATGAGTGACGCTGTATCCCATCTGTGGAGAGGTGGGGAGAGAGTCCAGCCCGAGCTCACGTGGGGCTCTGCCCCTCCCTGCTCCCGGAGCACGGTGCTCTCACCCAGCTGGTGTTGCTGCCGCCTGTGCTGGGGCCTCCTACAGCTCCTGCTGCTTGAGGGGTTTCACCCTTCAGAGAGGATTTTGGGTCCCACTGAGTTTTAACTGTTTTCAGGCCGAGCTAATTCTGACCCCAGCTGGGCCCCCAGCCCTCCTGTGCCTTGTCCATGTGCTCCCAGGAGGATGAGCAGTGGACACGAGCTGTGTGGAGCGAGAAGAACCAACCAGCTCCTTCCTCACTGAGGATGCTGTGGCAAAGGGCCACATCCAGCTCCAGTGCTGTACAGCCCTGCCTGCAGCTGAACCCTGTACCTGTCTCGAAGCCAGGCTGGGGAGGTGCTGTGTGGGAGCTGGCTGCAGTTCCCTGGGATTAGAGCCTTGCCATCCCTCCTGGCAGCACCCGCAGATGCGCTGCCGCTGCTCCCAATTGTTCCTTTCTGTCCCAGAGAGAAACAAAAAGCATCTCTGCAAAATCCAGCCTTGGACTTTGCTTAAAGCCTTTGAGTAAAGAGCCTTGTTTGAATGTAATTGCACCCCTGTTGCTACAATGGGAAAATACACTGTATTGCTCTTTCTTGGAAAGCTCAGCTAGTATTTTCCCAGCCATTTGTGTATAAAGAAAGATAAACAGCTCTTTAGCGGGCAGAACAGTCTATCCCGGGTTTATTGACATTCAGGGAAGCAGACAAGGAGAAACAGTTTGGTGAGTGCAGGGGAGGGGGAGCAGCTGGGCTGGGGGCACGGGGCACGAGGGGCTGCTTGGGTGGAGGGTGGGAGAAGCCCTCTCAGGTGCTGGCCGTGGTGGGCCCATCTGCCTGGCCTCAGACCCGTGCACAGTACACCCCTGTGGGCCCCCCTGGCAGTCTGCAGGATGCCCTCAGCACCTCACCCTTCCTCTCACTCCTCCCCATAAATAAAAGACGTGTATAGCAAATTTAGTTCCAGCTTCACACGCAATAGCGCTATAGATAGATTTTTAAAGAGCTTGTCTGAAAGTAATAATTCATGGGGAGATCAAAAGGCTGTGGTTTAATCCAGGGTCTGTCTGATACCATAAACCTTGCAGAGTGCTAACAATTCAATGAGCAGCATCAAAAGCCTGATACACATGAAAGCCACCCAATTTTCTGTCTGTAGGGCTTACAATGGGTGCTGAGGAGCTGGGGAGATCTGTATCTTCCCTGCAGAGCTTGGGTGACAGAGCCACACAGTCCTTCAACTTCAGCCTCCCAAAAGAGGTGCCTGGACTCTGTTAACATCTCAAGTGCTCCCTGCACCTCCACTGACTGTATAAAGAGATCAGAGTTCTAATTAGGTGTCTAATTACATGGCCTAGGTAGAGTTCAGACTGCACTTGGCTGCTTGGCATCACCTTGTGCTCCACATCCACAAATCACAGGGTCTGCATTGGTTCTCCAAAGTGATGTGACAAAGTGGTGGATTTCAGATAGGGAATGCAAAAACTATGGGGTATCAAAATGCTGTATTTGGAAGCAGAAAACAGTGCCTAAAATGGGGGCAGGAAGGATGAGTGCTGTAAACACCGGTCCCCAGAGTGGAAGGGCTCTGCCATGCCTCTGACTGTCAGTGAAAGCAACATTTGAAAGGCAGTGTTTAATTTTTAACACAAATGGAGGTGAGCTCAGGCTGCAGACACCTGCAGGTGAGGGGCTGGGTTTTTCTCCGGAGATCCCGATCCCACAGAGGTTAATGTGATTATGCAAATGGCTGAGGTATAATTGCGTTACTGCCGCCCATCTGGCCCTCCCTGCAGCTCCTAAGTGATTTTATATTCCCCCTGCACCGCAGCACTGACACACAAGGGCACCAGAGATGCCATAAATCACTGCTTGGTGTTTGCTGCAACGCCACCTCCCCATCAGACCTCAGGAGCAGAATCCTGCTGGACCAGGCATGGCCAAAACACATCAGGAAGGTTCTTCCCAGATCCAAATTAAATGTAGTCCCCAGAGGATTGAGCTCCATTAGTCCTCTCCCAAGGGATGCTCCTGACAAAGCCAGGATAGTGCCCCACATCCCAGCTACAGCAGCAGGTCCTTCCTGACATGGTTTTTCTTGGTAGAGTAAAACAAATTCCTACCTCCATCCGCAGCTGGGATTAAACTAAAACCTGACATTTTCACCACACACTGTCGCAGGTACCCCCCAATACTCTTTTAAACTTGGATTTTGCTTCCCACCAGTATGAATTCAAAGCCAAGAACATTAAGAAGAAGAAGGTGAGCATCATCGTGTCCGTGGACGGCGTGAAGGTGATCCTGCGCAAGAAGCAGAAGGTGAGGCTCCTGCAGCCAGGCCGGGGCCCTTGGGGCCAGGGCACCTGGGATGTTGGCTATGACCATGTGTGGGTGTTAGTTCTAACCAAAACTGGCCTTCTCTTAAAAACACACAGAATTTTCACATGAAAACACTTCAGTTTCTGACCAACTAATAACAAAACCTTGCTGAAAAAAAGAGTGTGAAAATTACACCATGGGAAGAGGATTGGCTTTCTCTCTGAAAAAAATACCAAGCTCTAAAGAAGTACAGTCTTTTTTTGTTGCTAATACCAGTAAGCTTTTTCCATGCTGCCTGGTCTGAGCACCCCTCAGCTCCTTGCCCAACTGAGCTTCCCACCGAGCAGCTGGATCCAGATCTCCTAAGCCCCAGCTCAGAGCCTTCTTCCCCAAAACCTGGAACTCTTCTGCATATTTGATGCTATAAATTAATCTTACAGACCATTTTCAGCCCTGAAGGCTGTGATCAGATATGATAAATGATCAAAAAAAAATCTATTTCCATCCAAGCTACTGTTAAAACAGCCACTGCTCATCTAGTCACATTATAGCTTGGATTTTGGCTGGAGTCAAACACACCATTCCTCAGGTTTCCTCCCATCAGCATGGTGGAGTTTCACCTTTGCCTGATTTACTGTCATTTTCTTTCTGCCCTCTTCTAACAGAGGAAGGAGTGGACCTGGGACGAGAGTAAGATGGTGGTGATGCACGACCCCGTGTACAGGTACGTGGCAGGGCATTCACACCAGGGAGCCCTGGGTGATGTGCACCATCCTCCCACCTGCCGAGATCCCTCCACCACAGCTTTCCAAAGGACCATCTAAAATTAACGAGGGTGCAGAGTTTCTGCCGATGGGGAATCCTTCTCATGCATTTTTGAGAGCGAGATGGACTGATCTCACTTTGAAGCTGGCTCTGCTTTGAACAGGGTTACCCAGGTGACCTCCAGAGGTGCCTCAACCTGGATTACTCTCTGATTCTGCCTCTGAAGACAGGCCTCCCACAGTTTTCCTTCAGAGCATGGTTCTCTGTGTGCTTCTGAAGAAGGGCCTTGCTCTCAGGTGTAAGTGCTTGCAGGGAATTAACCCTTACAGAGGTGGTAAGAGAGCATCAACTTTCCATAGCCCCTGCCATGGAATTTTGAGGCATTTCAGAGACCACAAGCCCCCCCTAGTGCCTCAGGAGCCCTCAGGGATGGAAAGGCAACCCCAGTGATGGTGTGTGGCCTGAGGTGAGAGCACAGGGTGCTCCAGGCTGTTGGATCTGCCAGTAAATAATTGTATCATGAGCACGGAGACCACAGGACTGGGATCCCCAACGCTGGTTTTAGGGGTCAGAGCCTTTGGCAAGGAGATAAGGGGCAGAGGGCATGCTGATGCATTATCCACACCCACTTCTCACCTCTGACTTCCTTTAAAGATTATTACAGGATCTACAATAACCACTCCAATTGCAAGTTCAACACCCAAAAAATTCCAGTGACAGAAAAGAGTAGAAGAAAAAAATCATTTCAAGAATCCCTTTGGTTTCTTCTCTGTTCAGAGCTGAACTCACTTGTCACGTTTTTACCCAGTTAAATCAAACATATTAAAAAGTCCTCAAAAATGGTTTTGCAGCTCAGGGGAGAGAGTCAGCCTGAATGTCAGAGGGAGAAATGCTCCAAGTGCACTCAGCATCCTTGGGAGAGGCTTTTGTGCTGTGCCACCTGCCTGCTGCCCAGGGGGAACCTGTCAGGTCCCTGGACTGGCCGCCCCGAGGGGCAGGACACTCATCATACAGGCAGTTCTGCCACGCTGCAGCCTGGGCAGGAGTTAATTGCTGGGGCTAAAAATAGCCACAAGCTTTCCAAGACTATAGATTTTTTCACTTTCCCACAGCATCTTTAAAAAGCTTTTGCCTGCCTCAGAAACCAGAAGGTTTTCCATCAAGCCTGAAAAGCACTCTCTAAATCCATCGCCTCCTGCCTTCAAAATTGCAGGAGGGGCTGTGCAGCAGCACTGCCTCGTTCCTCCAACCCTGGGGGCTGTGAGCCCACCCATCCTGGGGACCCACGGGAGCTGAGGTGCTCTGGAGGGCAGAAAATCCCCTGGCTGTTCAATTCCCTTTGTCTCTCTCCCACTTAGAATCTTCTACGTCTCTCATGACTCACAAGACCTGAAGATTTTCAGCTACATCGCAAGGGACGGCGCCAACAACTCCTTCAGGTGCAACGTCTTCAAATCCAAGAAGAAGGTAGGACACTCCCAGGGCTGCACCTGGGCCACCCCTGGGAAAGAGGTCTCCGAGGGACCTCGCTCCTTCCCTTGCAGGAACCTAAATAGCTGCTGGGGCAGAGGGTGCAGATCCCCTGGGGAGACACCGAGGCAGCGCCGGTGCTGGACATCCCCAAAACAATGTGCCTGGTGCTGGTCCCCTCCTGCCCAGCCCAGCCCAGCCAGCGGCGCAGTCCACACACAGGGATAGGGACACCAAGATCCAGAGTGGGGAACGGGGAGCCCCCAGCATGGGGGTGCCCCACGGGTGGCGGGGTGGTGGCAGTGGCAGTGCTGCCACCCTGGGCTGAGCAGCGCGGGGTTGCTCTGCAGAGCCAGGCGATGCGCGTGGTGCGCACGGTGGGACAGGCCTTCGAGGTGTGCCACAAGCTGAGCCTGCAGCACGCCCTGCACAACGCCGACGGCCAGGCCGACGGGGCCAGCGACAAGTCGGCCGAGGAGCAGCCGCTGGAAGGTGACTCGTGGCTCCCCTGGGGCGCGGGCAGACCCCACACCCCTCGGCAGTGGCTGTGGGGTGCTCTGGGGTGGGCAAGGTTGCGCGTCCCTCGTGTGCTTGGGACCCCTTTGGGCCCCTTCAGGCAGGGGGCATGGGGAATCTGCCCTGTCCACCCGCTGGGCGCTGGGGAGGTGGAACCCCCTCATCCAGCAGGCTCAGGGTCTGCAGCCCCTCGGCTGCCCTGCTCCCTCCCTCCAGTCCCTTCGCCGCATGCCAAGACTTGGAGCAGTCCTGGCTGTTGTCCCTGAGCTTCCCCATTTCCCAGCCCTGCGTGGGGCCCCGGCTCTTCCTGCGCTCCTGCACAGGGAAGGGGGGCTCGGGTTCACGTGTCCATCTCGTTTGAAGTCCACCAGATAAAGGGCTCCAAGATCACAGATGTGGACGAGGTTGGCATCGACACTGACGGCATCTGTGTGTCCGAGAGGGGACCCAGAGAGCTGCCAGGTGCCAGGGGGGACCTCAGCATGCTGAAACCTGGGCAAGCCTCAAAGGACAAGAACGGCCAGGTAATGGGGGGAGGGCTGGGGGTTGTTCCATGTGCTCTGCTGCTGCTGGGGTCCCTCTGCTCAGGGTCATTGTATCATGGCTTGATTTGGAGGCACTTTCATGGAGACCTCATTGCAGACCCCCCCTCCTTGGCTCCCTGCTCAGGACAGGCTGTTCAGCTCCCAGGTTTCCCACAGCAGGGCTGTGTCTCAGTGCTGGGGCAGGGCTTGAGGCAAGAGGCAGGAGTGGGGCTGCGGCGCATGGCTGAGCAGGCTTCAGACACAGCCCAGCGTGGATTTCTGTGCCCTCAGAGCTGCTCTGCAGCAGCTGCTTGTCCAACTCCCTCAGCAGCAATTCCCAGCTCCCCTCACCACCCAGGCCCAGGGAGCAACATCCCAAGGGGGCCCAGCCCTGACAGCACAGGTACCTGGGGCACGTTCAGCATGAGCAGTGGGTTTGCATCAATGAGCACTTCCCAGGGGCATGAAAGGCACCACTTCAGCTCACACAACTGTATGGCTCGCAGGGCCTGGCTGAGAACAGCTGCAGTGACATGCACTCCATGGGATTCATTTGTGTGCCTGGAAAGGCTGGGATTTCCTGTGCATTCCTTCTGGCGCTGCCCAGGCAGGGGAGGGCAGGGGCAGGAAGGGCTGCAGGCACTGGCAAATGCTCCAGACACCAGGATATCGTCCAGCCTGGGAAACCACATCACGGAAAGGTGGTGGGGTGTTGGGGTCACTTCCTGCTGTCTCCTCCCAGGGGGACCTGCTCTCCCCAGAAAGCCAGTGCAGCCCTACCAGCTCTCTGTGAGCAGGAGCCACTCCAAACACACTGCCCTGGGGATCACACAGACATGCAGAGCCTGACACCGAGCCCAGGGCTGCCCCTTCAACATCCCCCTGAGTGCCAGGGATGCAGGGGCCCCTCTGCTGCACTGGGGTCAGAGCTGTGGGGAACCACAATCCAAATCCCAGCCTGAGCCGATCAATCCGCTCACCTGCCCATTTCTTTGTGCCCAGGATGCCGAGAACTGCTCCCTCCACCTGGCCAGCTCCCAGCAGCTGCTCAGCCCGAGCAGCCCCTGCTCCTCAGCCTCCATCACCCCGCTGGCCTCCCAGCACTGCCTCCAGCTGCTCCAGCAGCAGCTCCTCCAGCAGCAGCAGCAGACGCAGGTGGCTGTGGCCCAGGTACACGTCCTACCCTCCCCTCAGGTGGCACCAGCCCTTCTCCTCTCCCTGCTCCAGCCTGGCTGGGCTGGGCTGACAGTGGGGCAGGTGGGAGCAGGCCAGGGCCCTGGCAGCACTGCTGGCAGCATTCCTTGTGGCACAGCTCACACCAGGGTTTGCAGCTCCGCTCGCAGCATCGCTTGCAGTGCAACTCGCAGCATTGCTTGTGGCGCCCCGTGCAGCATCGCTTGCAGCGCAGCTGAGCTGCCCCAGACCCGGGGCTGGCTGCACGCACGACCTCACACCGCTCTGGGAGCGTGGCAGGGTCCGGCAGAGCCCCCAGCTCCCATTTCACCCCGTTTCATCCCCTTTTTGGATGGAAATCACGCCCCCTCAGTGCCTCTTCCCCCAGACCAGCATCAGAGCGGGGAGCCCCGCAGCTGGGCACCTCCTATGCTCGTTTCTCGTTAGCGGGGGGACAGCAGACCCCCCTACACACACACACCGGGGATGCCACCGCATCCCCGCCCGCCGCTGGACCAGCTCGGGGTGTCACCGGGGTGCCGCGGCGGGGCCGGCAGGGGGCGCTGTGGCGCCGCCGCTCCGCCGGTCCCGGGGACGCCCCGGGGATTCTCCGGCCGGCCCGGCCCGGCGCGCATCATCCCTTCCCTCCCCGCATCATCCCTTCCCTCCCCGCATCGCCCCGGCCCTGCCCGCAGGTGCAGCTGCTGAAGGACCAACTGGCGGCCGAGACTGCGGCGCGGATCGAGGCGCAGGCCCGAGTCCGGCAGCTCCTGCTGACCAACCGCGACCTGCTGCAGCACGTCTCGCTGCTGGTGCGGCAGCTCACGGTGCTGGAGGCCCGCGAGGAGCACCGGGACGAGCACCGGCAGCCGGGTGAGCACAGTGACACCCCTGCACTAGGGTTGTTTGGGTGCTGGCGCACCCCCAGCTCCATCCCTCTGGACCGCAGTCCTTATGATCACAGGGAGCAACTGGGGTGCTCCCAGTACCATCCCAGCAGGCTCTGGGTGGCTTTGGGGCATTTCTGCACCCCTCGCAGTCTAGGGGAGCAGCTGGGTTGGAGGTCCCCAGTTTTCACATTTCCCTTTGTCTGTCTCTCCCAGTTGACCGCTCCTTGCAAAACCTGTCCCTGGCACAGTCCCTCTCCCTGAACCTGAAGAACCACTACAGCCTGGACGTCCACGTGCCGTCCACATCCACCCCGCCAGCATCCTGGGCAGCCCTGTGGGCCCCGGCTCGCTGCCCACCCTGGGCCCCAGGGACTCCTACCTCAACCTCGTCAGCCTGGACAGGGGCAGCCACCGCTATGGCAGCAAGGAGGGGGACGAGTGCCTGGCGGTGCTGGAGGGGCAGGACGGGCTCAGCCGGCGCGTGGAGGGCTCCGAGGTCGGTGACTTCACTCTGCTCAACGGGAGCGGCCGGCAGAAGGTGGATGACACGGACAGAGGGGACGAGGACAGGTAGGATGTACCACCTCTACCTCCTGCCAGCTGGCCCAGGAACACCCTGAGCGGTGCAGGTGAGTACTCACCCATCACCTCCTCGCTCTCTTTGCCTTCCCAGGCGGCAGCCGCCCATTCCCAAGCTCAACCCTCCACCGCCCATCCTACGCAAAAGGTCAAGCAAGACCTCCCCGAGCCTGGAGGTGGAGGTGAAGCCCGAGAGCGCTGCCAACCTGAGCCTACCCAGTGCCAGCATCTCCAGCCTCACCAGCATCACTGCCAGCTCCCTCACCCTCTTGGACTCCGAGGCAAGGACTCCCACACGGAGCGCTGCCTCCAGCACAGAGCCAGGCCCTGCCGGGACGTGCCAGCGCAGCCTGGGCAAGGACAGGACTGGAGAGAGCGGGCCAATGTCCCCCTTGGCCAGCATCCGTGGCCCAGCAGCCAGCGGGGCCCTGGCCAAGGAGCTGGCAGGCCTGGGCAGCCCCACGAACAGCTCCCTGCCCTTCTCCCCTGCGGACGACACCTGCTTGCACATCAGCTTCTCTGAAGATGAGCTGGACACTGCTGTGGGGCCCAGCAGGGTCCTCTCTTAGTGGGACTGCAGTGGGTGGCAGCTGGTGGCAGCAGCCCCAGCGGCTCCATCCACAACCCTGTGCTGGGGGTCCCTGTGCCCAGGCTGTGACACAGGTCCCCTTGCTGTCCCCATCCCACGTAACAGCTCCCCCACCACCTATGGGGCCACTGCACAGGATGGGGCCTGGCCAGTCCTGCCCTCGGTCTGCACCAGCTCACACTGCCGTCCATGTCCTGTCCCTGCTCTCGCAGCCAGGGATGCTCCATGGCAGAAAATCCCTGGGAACTGAAGGGTGGAAGCCCTGGGCAGGGCAGGGCACGGCGCAGGGCCTGGGAACACCCACACACGAGGCTGTTCTGGTTCAGGGCTTGCTGCCCTTGGTATCCTGAGCAAGGCCATGTGGCACAGCCACGGTGTCACTCCCCTGCCCACCATCCCGAGGCGGGTCCCAGGCTACCACCCCACTGCGTCTCTCCAGGGCAGTCTGTGCCTACCAGTGCCACGCTGTGCCCAGCCCAGCTTTTGGGAACAGCAGCCCCACCACTGTGTCCCCACACGGCGAAGCCACCACTGCCTCCCTCCACAGGTGCCTTTTCCCACTCCCCAGCACCCACTGCCCACACAGGCTGGGACCACCCCCCCGGAGGCCACAGATGGGTGCAGGGCTGACCCTGGGAGCCTGTGGCAGTAGGGGGGACCCACAGGTGCATCCTGTGTCTTGGGCTCTTGCTGGTGGCTGCAGGCAGGAGGCTGCTCCTTGTGCTGTTTTAGGGTGTTACAGTGTGCTTTGGGTGTGGTCTCAGAAGCTGAGTGTCCTGGAAGGAGTTAAGGTCTAAGGAAGAGCGTTGGGTGAAGGGCAGGTTTCGGGGAGGGAACAAGGGGATGCTTATCCACCTTGGCTGGTTGTGAGAGGGTGTTGGGAAGGTGTTGGAGAGCCGAGTTGGGAAGTGTCAAGCAGAAATGGAGACTCGGAGCAGCCACACTGCCTGTCCCTGGCACGGTGCTGCTCCCAGAGGGAGGTGGGGGTGATGGACGTGCACCCCAGAGCCAGCCATGGCAGTGACAGGGTGGGAGGGGGCTGGTGACGGGGCTGGGGGCTGTAAAGCTGGGCTGGGCTGTCCTGTAGTGCGGTAGTGACAGCCCAGCCCGTCTGTAGGATGTGTCCGTTCACTGCAGTTCCATAACGGGCTTTTAAAGGAAAAAATAAAGGTGTTGGATTTGCAGAGCCAGTGCTGTGTCTCTGCCCCACGGGGCCCACACAGAGGGAGTCCTGAGCCTGTGGGGTCAGACTGGGGACTGCACAGGTATTCCCAAAGAGCAAAGATCCGTGCTAGGAATGACAGCTGAGCCCCTGAGCTGCCAGTCCACTCCCTAAACCCTCCCCATCCTACAGCCCCAGTGCAGCCCCCTCTGCTCTCCCTTGCAGGACTGGTGAAAGTGGGAGGTCTTGTGTCCCCACATGTGCTGCAGCAGGGCAGGGGGATTCCATAGGGATGGGGCCCATCTCCAATGAAGCCCTCCTGTCCCGGGCCCAGCAGCACCCCCATGGGCTGCATGGCACTGACCACCACCTGCCACAGCTTCCACCAGGATGGGTATCCTCAGGGCAGGGCCCTGCTCCCCACACACCCCTTTGCCCTTTCCAGTGCCCATTTCTGCTCCCGAAATAAATCCTGGCCCCAGCACACGAGATGTGAGTGCAAGATGGGAGAAGGCAAATGGCAGGCAGGTGGCAAAGCCTGATGCAGGATGGGATGGGACCAGTGGCATACCAGGGTTCTGGGACCCCCCAGGGGCTGCCTGCAGCCAGGACGGGCAAGAGACCCCCTGCCCTGCTCAGCATCCCCACCCTGCAGTGCGAGGAAGGGAACCCAAGTGCGACTCAGCACGGGGGCTCCAGGATAGACCCTGGGAGATCCTCCCCCCGTGCAGGAGCGGGGACTCACTGGAGGGACCCAGCACCCAGGACCTCTGGGGTCCCAGGGCTACTCTCCATCCCTCCACAGAGTGGGTACAGCCTCCAGCAGGACAGAGTGGGGCACAGGAAGCCCTTTCCCCGGGCCCACTGCAAACATCTGCCGGGGGGGCTGCCTGCGTGGGGAGGGGGCACTTCCAGCCCACAGCCTTATTATGCTTCCTTCATGGGAAGAAACTTTTTCCTTTGCTGTCTGCTAAGCTGCTAGCAATCATCAGGCAGGCAGGTGGTAAAGATTCATATCCATCAAACAATGCCATTTAGTTTGTAACCTGTGACTAAATCTGGTGTTAGCTTTAATTTCAGAGTCTGCTTTAGGGCTCGCTTGTTAATCTCTATGCAAAGCAGATGAAATGAATATGCAGCATTTTGGATGTAATTGTACGGCTTCAATTCAGCACTATAATTTTCCAAACAGGATCTTGCAATCAAGCTTCTATTCATTAGTGTATAAACAATTTAGTTTCTCAGCTCTCCAGTATGCCAATCATCTCAATGGAGTGAGCATCTCCGACAGAAAGAGGAGGAAAGTTTCCTTTGTGTAACAGAGGTAAAAGTTGCTCCATACTTCAGACAATTCCTGCCCGGCAGATCCAGGCCATTCCCGCAGAAGGGGGTGGTTCCTGGTGCCCCCACAAACAACACTGACCAGCTGCAAACAGCACCCCAGGGGAAGATGCCCCAGTGATCTCCCAGCTCATGCAGCCCCAGGCCCCTCAGGAATTCTGCACGGGAGGCCCCAGGATCAGACTGCCTGGAAAGGTGAGACCATGAAGCAACGCAGCTCGTCCATCCCTGGGGCTCCTTGAGTGCCCCCTGACTCCAGAAGGAGATGGTCACCCCAGGCAAAGCCCCCTCCACATTCCCATCTGCCCCACACAGCACCACAGGACGGGGCACAGGGAACACCCCACACCTGGGGCCAGTGGCAGCTCCTCCATGGAGGACACGGATGGGATCACACAGGGTGGGAGGGGGGCAGGTTTCGATCTCAGGGGCTCAGCACCCTCATGGCTGGTGCTTCCCTCAGAGTGTCCCACACACACTCCAGCACATCCAACACCCCGGCATCCCCATCCCTCTGCTCCCACCAGCGCTCCTCGGAGGTGAGGAGGGACCAGCCCGGAGCCTCCACAAAGGGAAGCACCGTCAGCGGAGCCGCTCAGCGCGGTCTGCGTTTCCAAATGAATATCGACAGCGCTAATTACAGGCCGCCATGCAGACAGCTTATTAGCTTGTCACAAAAAGACGGTATTGAACTCGGAGCCCGCGGTATTCACGGAGCGCAGCAAGACGCTCCCCAGACAGCACAGCGAACCAGGCAGGCGAACAACCTCCAGCAAAACTAATTACTTCCTGATTGTCTACGGCCACCCACTGGGTATAATAGTATAGACTAAATTTGGCATATACATAACTAAGCACTCGGCACCAATTTGGCGTACAATAATCATCCTCTGTGTTGCATAATTAAAATCTGATCACTTGGAATAATTATTTCATATTCCCAGTATCGGGTGAGGATTGCATAATGTGGCAGGAGCGCGTGGCGGGGAGTGGAACGATCCACTTCCACGGGCGTGAGCCCCCCATGAAGGACGTTGTGGCTCCGGGCAGGGCAAGAGACCCAAGAGATGCGCTCGGATCCGGCTGCCTCTGCCAGTGCCCCTGTGATGGCCCAAGGCCTCGGTCAGTCCCAGCTGTGGAGGAGCTGGAGTAACCAAACCAGTGCTGATCACGGCCCCAGTGGGGCAGGACTGTACCCGCCAGGACAGGCTGTCCTTGTGTCCCCACGCAAGCACTCTCCACATTGACCTTTCCAGGCTGGCCGCTGCCCCGCTGCCCGCCCGGCCGGGACGCTCATCGCCCGACCCCATTGTGCTCGTGCATCTGCTAAAGGCATTTGGAGAGACGCGGCAATAAAAAATAAAAATCAAGTGGAACGTGTGTGTCTAATCCATTAACTTCCTCCGGCGGCTCCCCGGGGACCCGGCGAGGAGCAGAAAGAATACGTGGATATTGCACGCGCCCTGGCACCTTGTCCCCGGGCCAGCCCCGCCGCTGGCCGCTGCCACGGGCTCATAAATCACCGCGGGCGACAGCGTTTCACAGCTCGCTTCCCAGCCAGGATATGGCCATTCCTGCTGATTACACGGCCGGGCGCGCGGGGGAAGCTGCATCTCCCACTTCCAGGAAGGGAGGATCCGCAAGGAAAACGCATTGATAAAAAGAAGAACGAAATCAGCTTTGTTCACGTTGCGAATCTCCCATTGTTCCTGCTGCGGCCGTCAGCCCTCGCTGGAGAAAGTATTTCCTCAGCGATAAATCTCCTGGGCTCCTCGCAGCCCTCGCCTTGGCACTGGATTCTCCTCAGCTTGTTTTGAAAGAAAAAGCAGTTTTGGCCGCGGGCCCCCCGTGGGTTGCACTGGGCGATTCATGGTGTGACTTTGGGGAGCGAGGGACATCCCTGGGGCAGGGGACAGGGGGCTGGTGCCCAGCCCAGAGTCTCTGACCTGTGTCCCCAGATAGGGGGACCTGCCCTGCCACTCCCAAAAGCTCCACTCCCATCCCACAGAGCCCGTGTCCTCCCTGCCGGCACGGCACGAGCCGGGGAAAGTGAGTCTGGCCGGGGCCACACTAATCCCAGTGCTGAAACGTGGAGCTGGCAGTGGCCAAGCGCTTGGAATACAGGAGTCAGGCTGACAGTCACACAAGAAAAATAGATCAAGTTTCCAAGAAAATAGAGCCGAGCTGATCTGATTTTCATCAGCATCTTCAGCATCTTTCGGGAAGCCCCAGCC